TCCGAGTAGCCTTAATAATATATTATTAACTATAATAAAAGTCTATAATATTATTATAAAGTTCCCGCGCTAGTATAAAGTAGCTAACTCGCTTAGGTAGCTGACTCGCTTATAAAACATGTTAGCTTAAAACTAATACTAGTAAATATCTTTAAACTAACTTATAAATCTTAGTTTATATAGAAATTCGCTAGATTATTTAATATTACTATTATTATAATAGTAACTAAGAAATAAGATAATATATAAATTAAGTTATTAAACTTATAATAACTCTCTTTTATATTAGACCTAGAATATCAATATACTTATACGAGTTTTATAATATAATACTATTTTAGTATAAAGTAGTTTATTATTTCTCTATAGAATCTAGTAGTAGTTAAAGTATTATATAAAGTCTAGAATACTAATACTTCTCTAGCTTAATCTAGATTATAATAAGTAGAATTAGAGTTAGCGCTATAAGAGTTTTCTAGTAATTTATAGTAAGAAAAAGTTATAGATATGACTAGTTATATAAAAGAGTATCCTTATATACTAGTATAGAACACTTAGTTTTAGCGTAAAGCCTATTACGTAATCTTCGCTCTATAATAATTATTACCTTCTAACGTAGACATCTATAGGCCTTTAGCCATCTTATTATTTATTAAGGAGAGAATCCTTCTTGTTGCTTGTAACAACTTTCTCTTTGCCTAAGTCTCCTAACGATGAGTCTAAACATTAGGCTCTAGTTTGTTGTTGAAGATAGATAGTGATAATAGGAAGTATAAAACAATTTGCATAACGAATTCGAGTCGAAGTTGGCTATCTTGGTATTCCCTTAAATAACTTGCGAGCTGCTATGGCTCTCATTTCTGGCTGTTAGTAACGTGGAAAATTTCGTTTCTGCTGATACATTTAGCATCAATAAGCCGCTAGTGTTGATAGTTTTCAAAACATATTTGCGAACCGTACTTTTGGTCGTTGGGAGAACGTCTAATTGTCATTCCCCACTAGCAGTGCATGGATTTTGGCCGGCGATGTCATTCCAGACGGGCCCGTGCACCAATCTTCCATCTCGAATTGCGAAAAAGTATCCCGCATCAACGTCCGCCACGCCCCACCAAACCGCCAAAGTCCATTCGACATTGCAACTATAATGTCCGCCCCGAGCAGATGCTTGGCCACGGCCGCTAAGAACCTGCGAAACTCACGCATTGCGACCGTCCCGCAACGAGCCTTTGCTTCGAGCACAACAAATGCGCCTGCATCCTCACGGAATGGCACCGCGCCAAAGACGACATGTTTGAGGGAGTTGCAAAGGATACAATCCGGTGCAGGAAAGACTGCGGGTAGTTTGGGTGGACAGACACGGACGTTCTCGCAATCGGCCTCGCGAAGCAAGCTCAAGACAATTGACCAGATTCGAGCACGGAACAAGGGCGGGGTATGTTAAATATTCTTTGCCAGAAGGATTATCAAACGAGACGGGAGTTACTTGGATGTTCAATAGCTGACATGTTGTCCAGCCATTCAACCTTACAGCCGCCATTCTCTTCATCGCAGCGGGCGGGGGACTATGGGCCTATTTCACGTACGAGAAGGAGCGCCTGGCACGGAAGCGGATAGCCGAGCAGACCAAAGGCATAGGCAAGCCCAAAGTCGGTGGACCATTCCGGCTAGTAGATCAAAACGGAAACTCATTCAGCAATGAGGATATGCTCGGAAAATACTCATTGGTACGTCAATGGCTCTACAAACCCTTGGAAAAGTATATTGATTGAGCCCACTCCAGGTCTACTTTGGCTTCACCCACTGCCCGGACATTTGCCCCGACGAACTCGACAAGATGGCCCTCATGTACGACAAGGTCGTGGCAGAATGCGGCAACGTCCTCCTACCCATCATGATTACATGCGACCCCGCGCGCGACAACCCTAAAGTACTCAAGGAGTATCTCGCTGAATTCCATCCGGACTTTATTGGTTTGACGGGCGACTATGAGCAGATCAAGAGCACGTGCAAGGCGTACAGAGTGTACTTTAGCACGCCGAATAATGTCAAGCCTGGACAGGACTATCTGGTTGACCACAGCATCTACTTTTATCTCATGGGTATATAATTGAATACAAAACACGATAGAAATAGGGTGGAATGCTAACTCGTGACTACAGACCCAGAAGGCGACTTTGTAGAAGCTATCGGCCGCAACTTTACAGCTGACCAAGCTGCCAAGGTTATTTCCGATCATATCAAGGATTGGGAGAAGCCGCTGAAGAAGGAGACGCGGTGGGAGTAAGGTGGGCATGTTTTGGTGTAAAGATGGGGTGGTTAACGTATGAGGGAGAAGATGGAAGATGACAGTGTATGAATACAATGGCAGCAAACTTGTACTATACGATGGCGAGCTATGTATATTACTGTACAAAGATGTATAAGAATGTTCTTGGGTAGATGCTCATGACTCGATTAACTATTTGAATGCATGCGAATGTAGGATGTACTGTGTACGACGTTTCTAATCAAGGTGTGATTACATAAAGAGTAAGCAATAATACGTACCGAGGATGTTGCGCGGGGTAAGTAAGCACAAGGATTGCCTTGAACTTCCATCCCTTCGTTTTTCAGACAACTTGTGTTTACAATATATGAACGATGAAATTTGAGAAATTGTCATCTCCACTGGGCCGGTAACTCAGTGGTAGAGTGTAGGACTGCAGTTCTCCCAAAAACCGCCTTCCCGAAGTCACCGGTTCGACTCCGGTTCGGCCCTTGTTTTTTTGTTTTGCTTTTGCTTGTTCCTCGATCAAATCAATATGCACACGAGAGAGCTATTATTACTGTTTTTGGTTGTACCACTTTCATCATTTTTTCAATGGTCCGGTGTAGTCATTGTCCCGAGGAGTGAAATTTTTGGGGGCGTTTGCTCAATTTGCTTGTTTTGCTAGTTTTTGGTCTTTGTGTTTGATTGTTTGGGTTTAATGGGCTTTGGGGTGAGGTACAAAAGAAAAAAAACAAAGGCGATGGCGCATGCAGATGCAGATGTGTTGACTGATTGAGCGATTGAAGACTTTTGCATTTTTTGTTTTTGAGCTGCAAGATGGCGACGATGCATGCTATTTTTGAGAGTGCCTGGAGGAATGACCGGTGATAACTGTGTGTACCTGTGTACAGCATTTTTCAGAGTGATTGGAGAGACGTAAGCTTATGTGTGTGTGTGTTACATGTTTATTCTGTCAATCATTGAAGTGAATCATGACTAGGTGTATCTTTGTGTAGTACTCTCAACGAATGATAAATGACGTTGCACGAGACGCCGGTTTTGTGGGCGTGCCCATTCTGGAATGTGGACTATATTACTTTTTCTGTATCTTGTGTGCAAAGTGCCGCGAGTGGAACAACTGTAGAAGGGAAAGATGACGTGCATGAGTCAAGAATAGATGGGCGTAGTGTGCGTACGTAAATAATTTCCTGATTGAAGCAGTTCGGAGTGACGATGGCTTCCGCGGACTTGTGGAACTTGCCGACGTAATCGTGTTTCAGAGAAGCACTATTTTTTGTCATGGGATTTCATTTCGCGTTCTAGCTTTTACTCTAGAATTCAGTCTTATCGCAAACTTTGTATTTCCGCTGAGGGGTACGGCGCGTGAATCCTGCTGCAGAATGGCGTGGCCAACAAACGCATATCGTGAGGGATTAAATTTTTGTCGCTGCTCAAACAGGTATACCTCGTGCATAGAGAATGGCAAGATGACTCCACTATGCGGCGATACGCAACCGTACCATTGATCTACAAAGAAGATTCTAAACAGGCGATTGCGAATGTTCTGGGTCGGCGGACCGGTGGGGGTGGGCAAGAGGCAGCTGCAGGAACAGTGGGAACCTAAGGTAATCTGGGTTCTTTCCGCAGCTCGGGAGTGGGTCTGTAGATAGTGTACAGCATGCAGGCTGGTTCTAGTGGTTCTGTGTCCACTTTTGAGGGGAGATGAGCCAAAGTCAGTTGTACAGGTGAGGTTGATGGGAATTTTTTTTCTTGTTGGGTGTGGACCACAAGGGCCATGTTTTAAGAATTTGACGATGGAGATGCGAAGTGCCCCTTCCCCCCCCCCCCGTGTTGAGCGGTGGCTAGTGGACGCACGGCCCCCTCGACGAATTTCCAGAGGGCGACGAATGATTGCATGGGCATTTTCCTGGGCGGTCGGAGTTGAGCAACGGTGCCAATGAGGTGGTGGTTGAAAATAGGGCCTTTGTGTGATCTGCATGCAGTCAGGTTATTAGACTCACCCAGCACCCCGCTGAGCTCGTAAACTAAAACATTTGTACGATGAAGATCGTCGACAAGGCCGAGTCGGTGCTGACGAGACAGGCAGACGGGCGTCGTTGTGGCGCGACTTCTCAGCGTTGCAGGCTTGTTATCTCAGAGCGCTGAGGTGTCAGTGTTTCAAAAGTCAGATTTTTGGCTGCAAAGATGACGATCGCAGCGGCGGAGCCGGACAAGAGCAACGGCTGGGCTATGGCGGCAGCAGCGCGAGCGGTGAGACAGCGTATAGCGCTGATGGATGGCATAACGGGTTGATTCACGCAGCGGCGGCAGAGGGCTCAAGTGGCAGGGCCATGGACCAAGCCGTGTCATCTGTCTGTGGGGAAACACGCGCGTGGCCATGGGTGCATGACCGCAGAGGAAGAGGAGAAGAAGAAGACATGGCTACATGGCGCGTCCAGCATGCATGGCTGCAAAGGCAGCGGGCGTTGGCCGAGACAAGAAGCAATGGTTTTGATGGCTACCTTGGGCGGCCACGGCTTATGTGGAGGGTGGTGGCTTCTTTTTTTTTGGGAGTCGAAATAAACATGTCACGGTGCAGCAGCATGTTGAAGTCGAGGCTGAGGGTACGAGGACAGGCTGACGCTGCTTACACGCAGCTGAGGGGGGTGTTTGTGTTGTAATGTGGGCATGTCACAATCGAGGCGACTATGGGATGCTGTCTTGGGGAGGTGAGCCGCGAAGAGGATAGTGCAGTGCCAGCCAGACGTGCGTGGTGCAGGCGTGCATGTGCTAGAGGAGTCGTCTGACTGACGCGGGGTAAAGGTGGGCGGAGGTGGAGGTGAAGGAGGGACATGGATACATGGATGTGTAAGTATATGCGAATGTAAGTAGCAAGTACGGCAGGGAGACGGCATGGCCGTATCGGGGAATGCAAACAAACAGAGGATGGCTAGCAGCAGCAACAGCAACAACAACAATAACAACGATAACAGCAAGGAACAACAGGGCTGTCGCTGTTGCTGTGCCGGGCACGCGTCCGTCCATTACTATGGCTTTTTTTTGGTTGGTGGCGCCGGGCAATGAAGTCATGGACTGGCAGTCAAGGCTCATCCATTGCAGCCACGGGCTCAGCCAGCGCTGGATAGTCGGCGGCCTAGCAGCGACGAGTTGGTGTGGGCGTGCTGGGGCCTGAGTCAGCCGGCGGGCGTGGGCTGCAACCGAGATCTGGAACATGGTCTGCACGGCAAAACTCCTGCAGGGCCGCCTGATAGCACCCAGTGACGGCCATCCCTACTTAACTCTATCACGCCGCCGCCGCCCCTCCCACGCCCATGGACGCCGTCCCACATCCTGCCTGGCCCAGCCCGGACTTGCGACCAGCCCTCGTTGCTCGTTGATCTGTTAAAAGAAGACGCGCTGCCGCCAATGCGTTGCCCCCATTCTCCTCCCCAAGCTGCTGCCCACCCGAGCGCTCTTTCTTCGGAGCCCACCCAGACGCCAGACGCCCCATCCGCGTCGCTCATTTCACGCCCACACTACCCCTGTCGCACCTCCCAGAGACACCCAAACACGCCTGGCTCGCCTCTTCCGAGCACCCCAACCCTCGAGGCTTTCTTGCTTTTTCCCGTCTGGCTGAGACGCCCAAAATAAATATCCGCCCTGCCCATTGCTGGCCGCGCTCCCGCGTGTCCAAACACACATCGCCCCCCCAGACCCGCAATCCTGGCTTCCTCCTCCTATGGACCCAGCTGCCACCGACACCATGTCGCGAAGTCGAACCACGCGCACCCGCTCGGCAAATTCGGGCGCCGCTGCCACGTATGGATACCATAATACTTACCATACCCACGCCCAGCTGCCCCAAGGCTCGCCGCCCCCGTATGCCTGTGCCATTGATCCCCAGACTATGCGAAGGCTCCAAGCCCGGACAAAAGCAGAGCAAGATGCCGTCCGCGCCACCCCTCTTCCACCCCCCTACACCTGCACCGTCGACATCGAGGGCATCGTGGGCATTAAGCAGGAGCTGTCGTCGCCCTTTCAAGTCTCGGGTCACCGCGAGTGGACCGACGTCTACGCTATCCTCCGCGGCACTCAACTGAGCCTCTATCGCATCAAGAACCCGCACCTCCTCAGCAAGAACAGGACAGCTTCGCCGGGCCGTCTGCTCAAGACGTTTTCGCTGCAGCATGCCGAGGTTGGCGTCGCCTCTGATGTCAAGAAATCGGCCTTGGTCCCAAAATCTCCCTTTGTTCATTTGGTGCCCGTTGCAGCTCGTCCCAAGTTATATGAGTCGGACCCACAGCTCTTTGAGCCCGTAAGAGAGCACCCCATCAGACTGCGCCTCGAGTTTGAACAATTCTTGCTGTGCCCCCAAACCGAGGAAAGCATGCTCGACTGGGTAGAATCATTCTGTGCTGCTATTGACATTAGCCCCCCGCTAGAGGATCGCAGCGAGCCTCGCTACAGAAGTTTGCCCCGAAGGAGTCGCAGGCAGCGAGTCTTGGACGCTGCGCAGGTTGGAGAAAACCTCGAGGGTTTGTCAAGCATGGAAGCCGGCCGTCGCCTTATTGCAGAACAGGAGCAGATTATGCGACAGCTCTACCCCAACCTAGCAGGAAACCGCGAACCAAGCACAAGCCGCTCATCTCCCTCTGCCGATGCTGAGATTGACGACTTTGACCCAGAAGACGTTCGCTTCCCCACACGAGAGGCCAGACAGTCTCTGGTGCGGGTCTCTTCCCAAGACCAGGACCAGGTCGATGACGAGCAATCTGAGAACGGATCCGACCCCAAATCGACACCTCTGCCTCCACCTTCGCCCGCCCAAATGATGCGCTACCGTCGCCGTTGTGCACCGGTATTGCTCGCTTCGTCGCCGCGTGTAAGCGATGTTGTTTTTGCCAAGGGCCAGCGTTTCCGCATCAGCGTAAAGGCTCACATGCTCGTTGAGTACACCGCCCATCCACCGCGCTATGACGCACATGGCTTTCCCAAAAATAGGAGGCCGTCTCACACCAGCGCAAGCCAAGATTCGC